ATTTTTTTAAAAAATCCAAAAAGAATTTTGAAAATAATTCAAACCAGAAACTTTGCTTACTTGTTAAAAACTGAAATATCCAGTCTTCAGGTATGGTATGGTATAGATTCAGATTCACTATTCACTACTGTTTCAAAGAACTGTTATACTTCTGTTTAGCATTGTGTTTAGGTAACACAGTGGTTAAAGAAAAAGTTCCACGTAAAACCATATTTACACACTTTCTCCTTCAAAGCAAAACTTTAGTTTTGCACTGGAGCTATAAGGTCAATACAATAGAAGTCTATGTCACTGAAAAAAGATTTATAGTAAAACAGACTTACATTCATTTTTGGCTACATTAGCTTTGCAGATTGAGTGCAAAACCAACCTTTGTTTAAAATAGGAAATTGTGTAAATATGTTTTTTGGTGAAGCGGTTCTTTAAGGCCAGTCTTTAGGTCAAGGTCAGATAAGAGCTAGCTTTAGGATTAGGTTTAGAGATAAAGGCGAGTTACATTAAAATTCAGGTCCTAACGAGAACTAAGTGTGACTGTGCATATGAGAGTAAAGCAAGAGAGAGGGAGAGAGAGAGACAAAGAAAGAAAGAGAGGGGGGGGAGCAGGAGAGAGGGAGAGAGAAAGAGAGAGTGAGGAGAAAAAAAGAGAGAGAGACGAAAAAAGGGAGAGAGACAGCAAGAAAGAGAAAAACAGACAAAGCAAGATATGGGTAAAAGAAAGAAAGACAGAGATAGGGAAAGAAAGAGAGAAACGAGAAAGATGAAGGGCAAGAGCAAGAAAAAGAGAAAAAAGACAGAAGTGAGAGGGAAAAAGACAGAGTGACTGCATGAGTGTGGCACAGTAAGAAAGAGAGAAAGAGAGAGAGAGGGGACAGAAAGAGAGATAGAAAGACAGTCAGTGACAGAGAGAGAGTGAAAGAGATACTGTGATAGAGATAGAGATAAATAGAGTAAGTGAGAGAGAATGAGAGAGAGAGAGAGAGAGAGTGAGAGAGACAGAGAGAAAGAGAGAGAAAGAGAGAGAGAGAGAGAGAGAGAGAGAGAGAGAGACAGACAGAGAGAAAGGCAGTGAGAGCGTTTTTTAATTCTCAGATCAGTCTTTACTGGGGAAATGAAACAGGTGTAACATCCACAAGTGCAGCTATCCAAACACTCTGATGGTGTAAACTGTGTTCAGAAAGCTGAAAAGAGGCTCTCCAAAATCATTTATCAAGTGAAAAGGGAATCTAAACATCGAATTATATAATCCACTTAACATACACTGAAACAGTGTTTTTTGCCACCTGGGCAGAGTTGGTTTTAAAGGGCAATGCCAGTTTTAATCATTCAGCATCGAGCAAGGAAATCCTGTTCTTAAGGGCAGAATTTCCTGTGCTGTATACAGCATAGCTTGTATGAGTATAATGTGGGAATCTAGAATGAAAAGGTCTTGCGACCCCAATCTTTGCTATGTTTAACAAGATGCATGGAGCTTGAAGAAGTATTTTGTGGTTTTCACACATTCTGATCAGCCCAACACCCATGATCTAAGATGGCTCACTTCACACTTCGTTTTTGTAAGATGTCATCACGGCCACTGTGTCAGCTTCACTAAAAGGCCTTTATCCCGGAGACCAAGAGGGACTGCAGATTACACCCAACACAGAGCATGCTAAGTTAGAGAGATGAATACAGAGACAGACCTACAACAGTCTGTATTATCTTCTAGCATCATTAAAAGTAAGCAATTTTCTTATGTAAGTTAGCGAACATGCAGAGAACAGGGAAATGTTTATATCAGCTCTGCATATCCAGCCACTTGGAATGTCAACTGTACTTCTCTCATAGATAATAGCTTTACTGAGGCTGCGGTGTTCACACATTACTGCAGAGCGAGCAGGACAGCAAATGTCACCCCATGCCAGCTATATTACTGTAATGTGCAGAATTATTTTACTTTTAAAAATATTTGTTGCACCTACAAATTGTCGCTGTCCAAAAAGAAACAAACATGCATCTCCAAAATGGTAACTTTACAGGAGAATGCAAAAACATTGATACATTATAATGGAAACGAATGTTAAGACATTTTATTTTTAAGTGATTCTGGAGCATTTTTTATTAGTCCATTCATCGGGAAATTTTCACACAATGTAAAAGACAGCTGCTCTGATCCAATGATGCAGAAAAATGAAACAGTCAGACTTCAATGATGTAACTAATGATCCAATCAACAAAAGTAACTTCCAAAAACAATTTAACCTATTAAACTTCAACTTTCCAGACATGCATTCCTCACTTCTAGCTACACCAGCTTGCTCTGTTTTCCATGTAATTACTGAATAATTAGACTCAGGATGTAATAAAAGTGAGTTTAAGAGGTTCAGCAGGAGTAAAAAGGTATCAGGTCAAAAAAGAAAAAAACCTACTTGAGTTCCCCAAGACTGCAGCAGGACTTCTAAATATATCCAGCATCTATCAGCACAGGAACTGAAGTTTGCTATACACTATTCTTCTCTTTTTGGCACCCTTTTGGTCTAAAATAAAATGCTAAAGCTGGAATGTGAGAGGTGTGAGAAAAAGCAAAGCAGCCTAAGTGCTGAACCAACAAAACGGAGTGAATCCATTAAACACTGGAAAAAGGAATTACAAGCTCCAGTGAGACTGAGTCAAAAAGCAGATTCCTTACAAATATACTTGAGTAGAAGTAAAGGTGCCATCATCTGAAAACACTCAGTACCAATCTATCACAACTTTAATTAAGCTCATGTAACTGAGTACCTTTACCAGCCACCTCGGTACATTCCACAGTGAACAGCACTGCTACAGGCCTTCACTAGCTACTTACTCCGTGAATGGTAATATGGGCAACAATAATACAATAATACTTCACACCTTTTTGCTGTAAATAGTTTGAGCAACAAAACAGGTTCTGTGTCCATGGCTCAAACTACAAATTACCTGCTGGTATGAGCTTATTGGTAAGTTTTATAAAAATACCTCACAGTGCCTCCATCCTGCTGTGGTAAAGAGTTTTTCCCTCACACAACTTGGTGTACAAAACAGACATTACCCTGCCGTAACACCCTCATTAAGCAGGCGGGTGGCGCTGGAGGAGACATGCCATTGGCCCTCAAGGCGATTACTCTGCTCTCCTCGTCACGCTTTTAATGTCCACTCTTATCTCACATCCCCAAGTGGGCAATTACTGCTCGCTCAACGCGACTGATTAAACGTCTGAGGGATTTTCTCACAAAGCCTGAGCGAAAGGGCCCATATCAGACATGCATGTGGGGAAATCAGCCTCAAGAATCATGGCCCCACTCAAAAAGATTACTGGGCACGCAGAGCTGAGGAGGGCATGATTCAGTGACATGCCATGAAAACAAAGTCAGTGGCCCATTAGATCATGGAAGAGAGGGAAAAGGCACCCGTCTCAGAGTCACATGCAGAGCCAAACAGTGTCTGAGATTCAAGCTGTGGCTTTCAGTTAAAAAGGACTAAAAACTGAAAAGGCTCTCTGTGCTTTCAGGGATATTTCATCTATTTGCCAAAAATGCCTCCTAAACATCATCATTTATTCCTGAACGGCTTCACTGAGAACTGTACTACTAGAGGTGTAATGGTGTACACATAATCAAAGTGAAGATTCAATTTTCAATATTTTATATGCTTAAAATGTATTTTTAAATAAAATTTGATTTTTTGTATGTTATTGTTTACTGTATGTTACTTTGCATAGACTGCAAACCATCATATCCTTGTGCAAAATAGTGATCTTATAACACAGTGCAGCTGAGCTATGAACAATGCAAATATGTATAAGGTGCACCTAGATGCCCCGACTACAGGGTTCGATCAGAGACATGATTTACATAAAAGACAGCTAATGACAGACCTTAAGAAGAGACAGAAGGGCATTCCAGATAGCAAGAGGATAGTGGGCCACTGCTGGCCCACTGGCTTTTTGCTCAGCATTTTCTGGGGAGCCCACTGGTGGTTAAGCATAGTGTTAGACAAAATGCTTTTTTTATCGCTCATTTTCCACTCATAGGCCAGTTTACTTATCTTCTTTTTGTTATCCTTTGTAAATTAGTTTAGTAAACAATTTTACCAGCAATATCAAAAATACAGCCGATTATACAGTTGTAGGCAATCTAGCAACAACACTTCCAACAAAATCAGTCATTATTTTTTTCTCTCAATTATTTGTAATGTTTGTCTTAGTTCATTTTCCAAAATAAAAGGCTCTCAGCCTGTGTCAATCATCTGGGTGGTCTGAGGGTAGACCGGCAGTGGTATACAGTCAGTGGGGTGCCAGCCTTATCAAGCAAGCAGACAGATATTTGCTTGCTATCTGGGACTCTTTCAAAGCTTCACTCTTTCATTACTGTATTGCAACCGTTACACCTTAAGTTATGCATATATTAACACTTGTCAGACTACTCTGCCTCTTTTTTCACAAAAAAAAAACCAAAAAAAATTCAGAAACCACATTAATATAATAAAGTAGCGTTAACGCTAATTTTCATCCACTTGGAACTCTGAGGTCGACGTAAAACAAAAGTATCTGGTAACTACAGTATGGAAATAAACAGCCTTATGTTCAAAAGTAACAGATGACCTATTGTCACAGCTACAGTCGAAAGAGGAATTCTGTGGGGAGAACAAACAAAACGACCAAAACCACAGCAGTACTGAACACACTTTAAAGGTGAAGGGGAACACTCGTTCTTTTGAACTGTTTCACATATCTGAAGAGGTACAGCCCACAGGAACGAAAATATCAGGCCTTTTTCAGGTGCATTTTCATGTTTCAGCGGAGTTCAGTACACCAGGCTGGCTTGACACAAGCCAGAGGACACGGCTGTCCATCCAAGGTAACGTGAGATAAAAGTTCAAAACAGAGTTAAAACGCCAATTTTACGTTTAGCTGCGTAGCGTTTAACTGAAAGCTTAAGATGTAAAAGTCCTCTGTAGTGTAAAGAATGAAACCAGGCACTGCTAACAGTGAAATTGCTCACCTCCTGAAACTGAAGCGCCGAGGCGTCCTCACTGCCTTACAGCCTCACAGCCTGCAGCACAGAGAGAGACCCGCTCCCAGTTCAGCAGTTTAACGGCTGCTCTGAGGGAAGTTACTCACTTTTCAGGAGAACATTCTGAGGCACATCCGAGACTGCAGCGGGTTCGTATCATCCGGCGGTGTGACTCCGTACTTCCCCAAGAGGAGAGAGAGTGAGCGGCGCGCCAGTTTGCAAACGGAACTTGCTGTCTGTCTGTCTCTGTCTCTCTCTCTCTCTCTCTCTCTCTCTCTCTCTCTTTCTCTTTCTCTCACACACACACACACACACATGATGGCGCTAATACATAGGTGTTGCGTGGCGGTGTCGACCAATAGCCTCTGTGTTATATATTTACACCACGTGAACAACTCACAACTCCTCACGTGTCTGGGTGATTTTCACGATCAGGGTGCAACTAACAAACATGTACAGATACAGCACACAAGTAAACACAAGTGTCTGATTGTTTGTTACAACTTAAAAACATTCACCAAACCTATAGCACTTAGAAAACAGTATCTTAAGTACACTTTACCTTGAAATATGATCAACATACTTTAAAATCTTATTGCACTAATGTGTGACTTCATCTAACATCTCATGTCAGAAGCAGACTTTGACATTAGTCATCCATCATAGGTTATGAAAAATAACATCTAATGTGCAGTTCACTGGACAGAACCTTGAGTTCTATATAGAACCATTTCCTGCTTAAATGTTTCTTTGCATGGTCAAATGGTTCTTAAGACTGATGAAGAATGTGCTGGTTCTATAAGGAACCCTTTTGAAAATGGTTCTATATAGCCCTAAAAAGGGTTCTGCTTTTGTTACGAGCTTGACATTGTAACAGTTAAAGAACTCTCTTTGGTGCTATATAGAACCATTTCATGCTTAAATGTTTCTTTGCATGATGAAATGGTTCTTCAGGTTGATGAATAATGGGTTGTGTTTACCAAAGAACCCTTGAAGAACCATCTTTTTTAAAAGTGTAGATCATGGGAAGAAGAAAGTTTTCTTGTTTTCTTTTTCGGTTTTTGCACACTGCACGTGTTAAAACGATTCACGCCAAGAAAGACGAATAAATCAACGATGGGCCTTTAAGATTCTGGGGCCTGTGAAGTGATGCAACTTGCTGCTGCAGACAGATTCATTAAAGACCCATGGAGAGTCTACCAGTCACTTGAGGTTTTCTGGTGTCACTGTTCACTTTGCAAAATAATGAAGACAAGTTACTATCATACAAGCTCACTTGCGCGCACAATATTTTTGCGTAATAGGCCTATGTTGACATCTTTCTGCATTCAGAATCCAGCGCTGTATAAAGCCATTTTCAATTCATGGTCATTTCACTTGAATCACATGATTGTTGAAAAGGACACTTTGTAAATGCTTCGTTGTCTAAATACATGTGTTAGGTTTGCTGGTGTAATTAATTACCATTACACTATCTCACATACTTAAATAATACATAAATAAATAATAAACATTTTTGGGTAACAGTCCTACATTTTCATTGACACATTATATTGACATCTTCATTCTGCAGTAAAGCTCTTATTCCTTATTTCATATGTATTAATCAACAGTATTAATCAGATTTGCTGACTGCCTGAACCAGCATGACCTCGTCCTCCTCCTTCAATGTTTTAAGTAACTGCTCTGAAATCCCTGATTGTGTTTTTCTAACTACACTACAGCACTTACATGTGCAGCGCAGTGCAACAAATGATTCTCCCTAAGGGCTAACCAGGCCATTAGCGTGAGTTAAACCATGCACACCTCTCACTGTGCTACACCATTCTCCTTCAGTAAATATCATTAAAAGATAGCACCATATTCAGAAAACAACTCAGTAGGTGAAATAAAACGATCGCAATATCCTGAGCAATAAGCATGGAGTCACAGGCTGGGGTGTTTTTATGGTATATACAGAATGATTCTTGAGGATAACGCCTTTTAGATGCCTCATATGCCTGGTATAAGCAAGAAAAAACATACCGTAAAAAAAAAAGATTTGTGATTTTAAAGAAAAAGTTAGTGTCTGGGATGCCTTAAAATTTTCTAATTCTAATAATAAGTTGATAGAGAACAAAACACACATTCTTGTTCCGTTAACTTGCCAATTAAAAATTTACTTAACTCAAAATTTTAAGGCAGCCCGAACACTAACTTTTTAAGGTTAAAACAACATATTTTACAGTGCAGCAAAGCTACACAGGTTCTCAGCTTCACTGCACTTTTAAGGGCCTGGATGTTGGTTTTTAATCTATCTAAGACCTTGAGATGTGGAAAACTGAAAGCCCAGACTACAGGTTAGTTCTAAAATCATTTTCATGTCTTAACTGATACTTGTTTGAGTTTGGCCAATTGAAATTATTTTGGAAATGGAATATCCCTGGTTGTGTTTACATAATGAGAAAAGACCAACTAAAGACACCAATGTTGACATGTAAACAACTGGCACTTTTGTCAGCCTTGATGAAGACCCAAATTTACCAGTAATTACTAAACAGTTACATGTTAGTCTTCATTACTTTATCTTATACATCTAGGTAGCATTCAGAAAACATTACAAGAAACTTTATTAGTCCAAATATGCCTACCCCTTAATTCATTGCCTGTTATCCACTAATGAACGCCTGCATTCATTGCAGTCACCTCTGCTGAAGAAGACTCATTCCCTCTGGCTGTTAGAACTATGAGAGGCCAACGCTTTGCCAGGCAAACCTGTGGCTGTGACAAATGAAATGTGTCAAATGTACTGCACAAACAAGCATGATAAACAGAGCCAATCGAATCTCCAGGGAGATAAGATCAACAGAATTAGCATCGGGCGGAGAAAGAAAGAGCAGAGCAAGCTACAAAAGTCATCGTCGTGCAACGCTTGTAATTGTTCCTTTTAAGTGTTGGCAATTGAGAAATTCTTTCCGGACCGCGTTCCACCATTGTTCTGTTATTTCTTCAGAACGTCATGTTTTAACGGCTTGGCAGTATGTTCATACTTTTCACATTCAAGGTAAAAGTTCTCTAACTCAGCATTTAGCTGTGACAGTGTTTCATAAGCTTCTATATAGAATTGTTTGTTTTTGCATTGGCTCATACACAGAAATAGAGTTATGTAACCCAAGAACAATGCATGTCAGGGCCCTCAGAGGCCCATCACTGCCATCTCAGGTTCAGTGTTCATCTGCACAACAAACAGCAGTTGATCTTAGACCACATCATGTGTTGTCTCAGTCCATTCATTATAAAATAGAGAGAAATAGATTTAGCTAGAAGACAGCATGAGAAAGAATTGCATTGGAAAAAGCTGTTGAGTTAGAGAGAGGTTGTTTAGATATCTCTTGGATGACGTCAGGCTCAGGTTGAGGGGAAATGTTAGGGTTATTTACTTGGCCATTTTAGCAAAGTTAATGGGTCAGCATTTGGTCATTTCACTATAGGATGCATTTTTAGTTCCCTAAAGAACCTTTGACTAGATGGTTCTTTAAGCAACTAATGAAATCATTTAACTGAAAGGTTCTTCACGTTCTTCCATGGCATCACTCCAGAGAACACTTTATGGCACCTTAATTTTTTTAAAGGGGAATTCCACCAATTTTTCGACATTTCTGCATAACCCAATCGTTCACAGGTCATTCAGAGTAGTTTGATTTGAAATGCGCCCTTCTAGAGAAAATTACTGAGTCAGAATTGCTCAAAGTTGTAGTGAGAAGACATCTCAGGCTTTTAATGCCTCCCTCACAGAAAGCTGTAACAGGAAATGATTATGAATATGTTGCTCAACTCCTGAGACATTTTACAATGGTTTTGATAAGGTTAAAAACATGTTTTTTACCTCTATTTTACTGTCATCAACATTCTATATGAAAACTCAGAAGGCACATGTAGGTTCACCAGGCATTTCAGCTGGCTATATTTGTGTTGTACATCATTGCACATATTTATGTTGTGAGCCCTGGTTCCTATCCTCACCACTGTAAAGAAATTTGAGTCTGTAAGTTCCTCTGTAATGAACAGCTTTACATCAAACTCTCTTTACATTGTAAAGACTGAATTATGCAGAATTATTGAAAAATCCCCTTTAAGAGGATAGCTTTGTGCTCTTAAACTGAGTTCTTCACAAACGCAGGCCAGCGGTCAGAGTTGCAGTCAATAGGAGAAAGGCAGAGACATGTGAGCCAGCTCTGAAGTGGACAGTTCCTGTCCTACTCCCTTGATTTATACACTAATTTATTCTTGATTTACTCACGAACCCTCAGCTCTCTCTCACCTTGAGAGTGAAATTCAATCCCCATGAAACTCGCATAACCTGATATCCATCAGTACTGATGTTCTGCCCCAGAGCATCAGCTCAAAAATCCAATTACGCCATTATCTGTGCTAGTGCCAGGCCCATAAAGTATCAGAGAAGCTCATAAGAGGGGAGCCTGTCTATAATTTACGTAGGACCAGGATGGGGTAGATTTGCATTTTCTGCTGGAGATTGATCCATAGGTTCTTCAGATGAGGTGAAAGGAACTCTGGTATCAGCTTATCTTCTGTGGCTTTCATAAATCAGTTTCTTTCTGCACTGGGAAGCCACTGGGGAGATGGGGACTTAATATATGTAGAGGAGCGGTCTGAGCATAACACAGATTTGTGTGAAGATAGGGTTTAGCAGTGTGTTTACACTCTCTTGGAGACCCTGGACATACTTCCTTTCCTCCTTGACGCTGGCTTGCGCTCTCAGTGGACGGCTTTGCTTATTTTCTGTTCTGTCACCTCGTCTCTGAGGGGCTGACTTGGGACCGCAGCTTCAGGATCAGATGAGGCCAGAACATCATGTTACATATTGGAGTCTGGAAGGCTAAAAAGACAGAATTAACAAATTCAGAATTTTATCAGAGTATTAGAGTTTAGCTAAAGAATTTAGGAATGGGCTGCAGTAACTGTGCATGTCACTAATATACGAAGGGGTTTGGGTGTAATGGAAAACAAATATTGGGAATATTTATTCAGAAAACAGAAATGAAGTATCTTTATTCAGTCCAAGTTACATTTTGTAAAGGCAGTATTCAGAATGCATTTATTTTTTATACTTTAGAAGAATTCTTTCAGAATATTAACCCACAAAATAAAAATAAAAAAACCAATATTAAAAAAAACACTTTTAATAGTTGTTTGACTATGAACTATTACCTATAGCAAGTAGCAAACATGCTTGTTTGATGAATTCTAAGGAGGACCTCAATTAATTC